AATCATTTGTGACAGAAGCAGGTAACCAAAGGGAACGCGTGCCACACAACTCTGTCGTAATCACACAGAGTTGAGTTTGGAGTTCAAACGTAAATGGTCACAATATCAAGGAATCTGAGGCCAGCTGGGAAATAAATGTTCTTCAAACACCGTGAACTGATGCATATTGGAGGGCTGAGGTATTCTGTAAAGATCACCCATTTAACACACAAAATATGATTCTGGGAGTTAGTTGGGGAAGATGACAGCTGTTCCAGGAGAGAGGGTATTAGAAATTGTAAGCAGCTATTAAGACTAGGAGCACGTGAATCTTTGCATTTTGATAAAATGACGGGTGGCAAAATACTCTAGAGAGCCAGACACCCACATTCTTCATCTTGAGAATTTGAGCTCCCCAGCACACAAGCTTGCAGAAGTAATTACAGTACGCAGCGGTTCGGAAGATCTTAAAAATCTCCATAGCAACCTCTCAGCAACAACCTTCGCATATCGAAAGAAGAGCAAAAACTCCCTAAGAGGTTGTGTGTATGTGAGAGGTCCTAGTGGGCCCAAAAGGCCAAGCCTAGGCTGTGTGCAGTGGCCATGCTGAACTCAGGTGCATTTGGTTACACTGACATAGTTTAACTTTTTCTGCCACATGCTCCTTAAGCATCTTGCTCTCAAACTTGGTTTTACACTGGAGAGCCTGAGGTTGGTGGTTATTGTAGCAGTCCTTGTGGGACTTGTCATGACAATTAACATGGCTAAGGCACTCCAGGCCACGTACTGTCATATTAATGCAAAGCTCAATGAAAAGAATTCCCAGATTAAATCTGCCTCTAAACTAAATACCAGGAAAACAAGCAACGTGGAACAGGAGAAGGGGAAAGGGAAGTGCTGCCTGCTCTTTAGATCTATACTTTCAAATAATTAGTGTAATAACAGAAACTTTGGCTGAAGGCCAATGAGCCCTACCCCAAGCAGAGGCAGAGAAGCAGCAGCAGTAGCAGCAGGAGGAACTGGGGGGGTGGGGGTGGTAGGGAGGGTTTACTGGCTCTTGGTAGTGGGTAGGAGCTGAAGGGTGTCTGGGGAGGAGTTACTGGTGCGGGGAGAGGGTCAGCTGGGGGAAGCCAGGGCAGTGGGTTTGTGAGGGGGTCTAGGGGGAAACCAAAGCAAAAACATCAGTGCTGCTACAGTGGGTCAGACCACAGGTCCCTCTAGCCCTGCACCCTGGCTAGGGACAGAAATTACTTGTAAACTGGGATAAGTGATCAGAAACTGGTTCAAATCTGTAAGCAATGGAAGTTCAGTGCACATAAACCACTTTTAAAATGGTCAAAACCAGTTTGAGATAAACCTGGATGGATGTAGTATCAAACTTAATTGATTTAAGTTAAATCATTTTATTGAACTTCTGTCCCAGATCCCGTCCAGATTCAAGTTAACTCACAGTCCCCCAACATCCCAGGATGCTTTGTATCTTCCCTGCAAACCGTCCCTTGCAGGGGGGGTGGGCTAGCCTAGCTGTCTGCTCCAGCTGAGCAGGCAGGCGTGCTCTAGCGCCTCCCGACTTCTGGCCTGGGCCACTGCAGCCTACAGCTGCATTTCCAGAATCAAAAGTGAATGTCTGTTCACTTGCTTATCAGTTCAGTCTACGCAGCTTACACTAACCTGCGAAGACCAAATTGATTCAGCCTCTGGCTTTTTGACTGTCTGTACTTAGCCCCTGTGTCTCCTGGTGGCACAGAGTGGGGAGTGAGGAGCAGTTCTGGGCTCCCTTTGGCAGCTTGCCTGCCCCTTCTCTCCTCTCCCTTTCCTGCTTGGGTGCCATGGGGCGAGGACTCATAGAGTGACTTTTTTGGGGAGTGACAGACAAAGCATTCTGTGTTGGATCTGCTCCAGCAGGAGAAATGGGTGGGCTCTACTCGGATGCTTTGCAGGGCTCTAAGTCTCTCTTTCTCCAAAGCCCACTCCTGACAAGAGAAGGAGGAAGATAATGATCCTGACCAGGGAGAAGGAAAAAAACTCCCAAGTAAAAGTGGCCAAGCCCTGGGTCGGGCAAGGGGGCAGACAAGAGCAGCCCCCACCCTGAGCTAAATTATGTGGCTAATCTCAGTGTGACATCTGACACCCAGCCATTCATGGCATGGCTACAGATTAAAGTAACCCGCTGCTATCTGCTCACAGTGGCTCTCTGCCTCTCGCCCAGGGATTTTCCAGTGGCCAAATTAAACATTTCTAGAACCAAGGGCTGGTGAGGGAGGTGTTGGAAGGAAAAGGAGGTCCATGGGAAGACCCCACAGAGATGCACAGGTGAGGCTGGAAACCTGCTGAAGAGATATTAAAGGTAATGCTTGTGCTCCTGACACTTTTGCAACAAGCAGAAGAGATCCACCCCAACTTGTCTGCCTTTACTTGCACATTTGCTAACAGGAGGTCTGGACTTTGCTCTCACACTCCCACCAAATTTTCCCTGCAGAGGGACACACATGCTTGTGACATCCTGTGGGCTACAGGGCAGGACCTAATGGTGTGTCAATGAAAGGTGTTGCAAGAGTCATCAACCTGCAGCGAACGCAATAAAGGAGAAGGTGAGCCAGGCAGGCTGGTTACTGTAGTGTATTGTTTCAGTCACCCTCAGGAGTGAGACTGCAAAGGGGAAGTAGCTTCCCCTTCATGAAAGGATCCACTGAAAGCCTCCAGGTGTCCCTTTGGACGTCCTCCTTGCCCCCCAAAATGTACTCTTGCCTGAGAGAGTGAAACACAAGCAGTGTTTGGCCAAAATCTATCTGGACTTTTATTTGCTGCCTTCCAGCCAGGTGAGTTTTTGAAATACCTCTTGCAATGAGTATATTTTATAAGCAAATATGAACCATTTCAACTGTGTAAGGATGGCTGTTTATGCAAGATGCTTGTATTCCATCGTCTTCTAGTCCCTGCATTTTGTAAAAGCTTTTAAACTACAGTTTAAACCTTACAAATCTATTCTTTTAACCCTAACTGCTTTGACATCTACTATTAGCTCAGTTTATTGAACTGAATCTTATATGTAGCATGCTTGGTTGTACAGGGACAATTGCTGTTTTCTTAATGATCTGTCTGCAATGAATGCTAGGTGAGAATACAGAATAAGATCTGCAATGGGTGCAATCTAATTCAGTTCCATCCAAGGAACTGATTTTAATGGAGCAACTCATATTTATGCTAGCTTGGATCTGGCCCACACTTTGCAAGTCAGTTTAAATGCCACATTCTTAATTATGGCTCGATCTTGCAATGTGACAAATGCACTTGGGAGGTGCTGAGTACCTTTCACTCCTACTGGAGTGAATGGAAAAGGTGCCAACAACTCACAGAGGGCCTCAGGACCAGGATAGAAACCTGAACTTGAAAGCACCATAGGAAGCAGGGGCTTGCACTGTTTTAACTAACACAGCTTGCACTTTTTTAACTAAGCCAGCTTTGTCATGAGGGCAAAGGGCAGTGTGGATGTGCTTGTGCACCAGGCTTCTCTGAGTTTAGGGGGGAGTTAGCTGAGAACTAAACAGAACTGAACTTCTCCAAAACCAAAGTAAATGTGTTCACACAGTTGAATCAAAGAGTCACATTTGAACCATCAACCGCAAATGGTTTTGCTTGACTCATGTCTATCTGATGTTTCTGTCCTGGTTCAGGAACCTAGAGAACAGGTGTGACTTCCAAAATGCTCGGCGCTTTTGAAGTCAGTGACATTTTGCCTGAGACAAGAGCAGAGGCAAGTTCCTGGTGTCTAGAAACACAGAGTTTTCTGTGGGCAGTGGCCCACAGGGGCAGCTCACATACAAAGTGCCATGGTGCTGGTACAGATACTGCTAGTCTGGTGTGTCAGACAGGGGGAACAAGCAGCCTGCTGCTAAGACCCAAGGGAGCGCTTCACCTTTGGTGACAGAGGTGCTAGGTTTTAGGTGCCAGCATGACATATATTTGTGCATGCGACCCAAACCAGTAATTTAGACTTTATGTTGGTGTAATTACCCAGTAATGTTGTTAGGAATGCTTGGATACTTTATCACATCTGTTCATGTAACACGTTGGACCCACCAGCCAGCAGGTCTCTGATTAGGGCAGCCTTGGTTAGATTTAAAATGAAGAACCAGGAATGTGTCTTTTTGGTAACACAATTTATTTGCTAATAACAATTTAAATAGTTGCAGATCAAAGAACAATGATCTAAGTCAGTGGTTTTCAACCTGTGGTCTTCAGACTCATGGGGGTCTGGAGATGATGTCTAAGGAGTCTGCAAAAGATGACTATGATCAATCAAAAGTATATGAATACCCACACTTAACAATTCAGAGGGTCTGCATATCCATTTGAAATTTCCAAAGGGGTCTGCAAATGGAAAAAGGTTGAAAACCACTGATCTAAGTGAAAAAATGCATTTGCATTTTGACAAGAAACTGTATTCTAGATGTCTTCTGGGCACATGACATCTATAGGGGGTACAGCATTATCAATAGCCTTAAAAATGTAGACATTTTGGCTGGGATTTGCAAATGAACCTAAGAGAATGCTGCAGTTTCATGGCAACTGGGTGCCTAAGCCTCCTAGGGACCTGTAAAAATGCCAGCCTAAACAGACACAGTAAATATGAATCTTGCTAATGAGAATTAAATACCAATCAATGTAGCTGACAGAATTATTACAGTATTGTCCCAAGTGGAATCAGGAACACTTCTTTTTTTGAAGATATAAAGATGTGAGAAAGGGATATATTTTGTTTTGTGGGGAGGCAACACGTCTACTTGGCCAGGGCAGAGGACTGGAAGCCAGGACTCCTGGGCTCCTTTTTTGTGACAGCCTCCAGCTCCCAGTGCGATCCTGAGCCAGTCGCCTCTGTTCTCTCTGCCTCAGTTTCCCCCCACCTGTGAAATGAGGCTTGTGTTGTTCAGTCATTGGCATGGAGCACTTTTAATGGCTCAGCCAGACGGGTCAGTAAATCAGTGGGTGTTGCCATCTCTCTTTCAGAACATGCCTAGAGAATGAAGAGGCACATGCAAGCTCGGGGACAAGGCTTTCCTGACAAGCTGCTCTGTGGCCTGGTTGTTACTGCCAGTCTTTTCCTGCTCTCAGGTACCTGTGAACACATCCCTGGGGCTACATCTCCCAGTGGGCGCATGAGGGGCTGGGAGCGGGCGAGCAAAGGACCTGTGCTCAGGTGCCATTCCCAGGCCTGCAAGCAGGAAGAGTGCTCCTAGTGCAGCGAGGGGAGGAAGGGGTGGCTGGCAGCTGAACAAGGCAGATTTTGCGCCTGCTGTGAGGAGGTGGAAAAGTGCTTCCCACTGTCACAGACCCTGCCCAGCACCAGCTGTACAGATCTGCCAATTTCCTGGCTTGCACTGGCCGTGTTGGCAACCTCTACGCTTGGCAGGAGCCAGCCTCTGTTGGTGTGAGCAAACCCTGCAGCTGCATTGGCACAATCTGTTTCTCTCTAGGAAGGTGCAAGTCATTGGTTTGCACCCAGCCATGAAAGCACTTTCTTGTTGTCTTGGCTGTCTCACCCCTGCTTATCCCCCTCCACGCTTGTATCTTGCCCTTCAAACCCAGACAACCAAGAGCTAAACCTCCTTGTCCATTCCCTACTTCACATCCTTCTTCCTTGGGCAGGCCCCTTCCATCCCTTCTGCCCCTGCAGCTCTGCTGAGCTCTCCCATGCTGCTACCAAGACGTTGCATTTCCTGCACATAGCACAGATGGGGAAAACCAATTGCAATGGTCACCATCCACTGGGACAATAATTTGAGCCAGCATGTAGCATAATTATTTTTGGCTACTTCACAGCTATGGCCCATAGCTGGAGGTCAAGTGCTTGCTGACGTTTCCTTACACTTCTACATCTTTGCATGGGTCCAGTCCTTTATGTCACCACAGAGTGACACCACAAATCTCACCATAAAGTATATGTTTGCTGTCTTCAGAGTGTCCTGGGGGAAAGATGAAAGCTAAGAGCTGCACCAAATTGTCTTCAAATAACCCCCTCGCTGAGCCAGCCATTGCATGTTCTGTTTCGGGAGCACCCTAGCCACTGGGCCACCCACTCCTGATGCTCCAGCAGAACAAAAATTGTTTTCAGGGCTACTTGTGCTTCTTTCCTTTGCTTATTTTGGCTTTCCAAAAGCAAGGGAAATTCCAGCTTTTAAATGCATCCCATGAAATGGTCCAGCTGATGTTCCTATCAGTGCTAAACCACTAACCCCCTCGACAAAGTTGGGATCTCTCACCCCCAGCTAAATCCATACGGGGAAAACATCAAGGCCTTGGCACTGCAATGGAAAAGCAGAACCATTTCTGGTGCCCGTGGAGTTGCACTGATGAAAGCAAGATCAGAATAAGGACTGGAATGCTTGATGAAGTGTTCAGCGATGCTGGGCTTTGGAAAGCAGGGATCAACCTTAGATAGCACGCTGTTCTTCTTTATCTGAGCTGGTACTGTCTGTCCATGTTGGGAGAAAGGGGTTTTGCTAGAACAGCCGCATATCACTCTTGGTTGTCTCTACAGAATTAGGCTCTGCAAATCAATCATTCATTGCTTGCTTCTGATTTGAAGTGCATGTAGCAGATGGGAGAAGTGTCTGCTGCTTTCGCAAGTTTGTGACGTGCGTAGCCTTTATTAGAAGTGCAAATAATCACTTGAGATTTACAGGTCTGGTTTAACTCAAGAGATTTACAATGCTGGCTTTATATGGCTGGCAATCAGGGGTTGGTGTAATTGATGTCACTGGGGACCAGGCTTGGAAAAACAACACTAAGTTATGGTAATAAAGGCTTCATCCTCATGGCACTTCTCTTCTGCAAGGAATAAATCTTTAATTAATGAAACACATGTAAACGCGTGAGTATAATATAAATCGAAGAGGCAACTCAGCAGGACAAGGGCATCTTGAGTTGTGCTTCTAGTAGTCTCAGTTTCATTGTCCCTAGGTCTTACACCATAGAGGGGTCAGATTATATCTGCAGATGTAAAGGAGCTGCTCAGCTGCTTCAGATCTCCGAGTTAGCTGGTTTAACATTTGTTCTTGTGTCTCTCAGCAACATCCTAGTTCCAGCATTGCAGTCACTCCTCCCCCTGAGCCTCCACTCAATGTGCCCACCTTTGTGTGTTGAGTTTGCACAGCCAGGGCAAGTTGTTCCAGATCTGCCGACAGTACTACAGGCAAAAGGATTGACTAACAAATCATTAAAAAAACCACTGTCCCAACAAACTCTTCACAGTCCTGGCAAAAGGTTCTGTTCTTACAGTTATTATCATCGTCACAAACCCTAATGTAGGTATATTCACGCTGGAGTTGATGATCCTGGCACAGTGGAAAACAATGGGTTCATTCGTTTGCATGACAGTTAAACTATTTCCAGGAAGATCCAATAAAGAAAAGCCTCTGCCCACAGGCACCTCTGAACGAAGTCCCTCTGCACTCGTGTAAAGGCTGAAAGAGCTATGATTATTTAATCTGGGGAAGAGAAGACTGAGGGGTTGTGGGGTTATATGAAGGATAGAAATAGATTTTTCTCTGTGGCTGCAGGGGACAGGACAAGGAGCAATGGCCTTAAAAAGCAGCTAAGGAAATTTAGGCTGGAGATTAGGAATAGCTTTCTCATTGTGACAGAGGTTAAGCATTGGGTCAGGCCCACAGAGGTTGTGGCATCACTAGCCCTGAAAGTTTTTAAGAGCAGGTTAGACAGACGCGTCACTGAGATAGGTTTTTTTGAGCAGGGGGCTGTACCGGAGACCTCATGTGGTCCCTTCCAGCCCTAGCGTACTATGATTTTATTGAGTCTACCTTGCTAATGATGAAAAGGGCATTGAAACCAGAAGTATCTATGGACTTTCTGTGTCACAGCGTCGTGGCCATTGAAGAACAGAGAATCAGGTCCTTGTGGCTAGATACCAGCCTATCTTCCAGCTAGGAACTAAACTTAGCAAACAGTTTTTACCTTCAGAATGGGTATCACTAAGACTTCTGAACCAAATCTGAAACCAGTTCTGAACCAAATTTGAAATCCAGAACTGAAATCTCTGCCTGATTGTTTAGTAGGTTTCAAAAACCCTTCATTTTTTCTCTCTTGCTTAATCAGGCATTTAGGCGCTGGCTGTTGGTGGTGTAGGAGGCTCGCACTCTGCATTTCAAAGGGAATAGCAACTAGAAATAGGAGAAACCTTTAATTTTTTGATCATCTTGTGATATTACTGAATAGAATGACTTGCAAAATAAACTGCTGTCATATGATGAGTACAACCCATATACATGCAGTAATTATCCTGATGAGGCCACGTTTTCTCTTTGAAAACTGACACTTTCTCTTCCCCTTCCCTTTCCCCCCATTTTTACAGAAACCAGTTCTTTGCGAGGGAAAAAGCTGGATGTATCGGGGAAGTATCAGAAGTATGTATCCCTGGCCAACACCAGCATCCCCCAGCTCTGCCAGTTCACTGTGTGCATTGATCTAAACAGGACTACAAATGTCAGCATTTGGACAGCTTTTTCATATGATATAAATAACAACTCCACCAACATCCATGATGCAGAGCTCGGGCTCTCCGGAGAAAACAAGCATTTGAAGTTGTATCTCTTTGGCACCACCAGAGAAATCGAGCTTGACTTAACTCTTTTTGAATGGCATAGTGTGTGCTACACGTGGGACAGCAAGGAGGGGCTGCTGCAGGTCTACAACAATGGGCAGCACTTGGAGACGGAGGCCATGAACAGTACGAAGTGCCTGAGGCCGAAGGGCAGCTTGGTGCTGGGGTATTTGCACAAAAACCAGGGAGGCGCCATCATCGTGCAGTTGAACAGTGGCTTTATCGGCAACCTGTACTACTTTCAAATGTGGGACAGGGTCTTAAAGCAGGAGGAGCTAATGAACTGCTCCCAGGGAAACGTCGTTAGCTGGAACGCAGAGCATTGGGACTTCGACAACATCGTTCCAGTCACCGACCATCACCTGCGCTGCGGTGAGTGTCTTGCTTTGTTGTCACCTGGGGTAGCTGACAGTGAGAGGAGGTTTGCCATCCACAAAATAAACCAGTTCTGGAGGGGGCAATGAGACACACACTTTACCAGTGGGTTCCCCAGATATTTGCTGGCAGCAGAACCTAACACCAGTGGGAAGGTCCTTCTGAGCCCCCGCAGCCTTGGGCTGCCAGTGCTCTGTGGCCAGCACTGGTTGTGAGATACTCAGCCCTGCTCAGTGAGGACCGGACCCTCTGGGGATTCTGCTCCTCAAGTCACAGTGCACGGGCAAACAGTGATAAAATGGGCAAATTTGGGCATGAAAGAAACATGGCACAGACACAAGGCAACCCCCTGCTAAATAATAGGGTGCTGCTCAAACAAAACCCCTCAGAAGTTTTCTCCAGGGGAAAAAAAGAGGCAATCCAGGCTGACCTTGATGGGCTCAGGAAAAGGGCGGACGAGAACCTGACGGTGTTTAACACTGAAAAATGCCAGGTTCTCCACCTTGGGAGGAAAAACCTGCAGCATCCTTATAGGCTTGGCAGTGCTACGCTGGCTAGCGCTACGGACGAAAGGGACTTGGGGGTCGTGATTGATCACAAGATGAACATGAGCCTGCAATGCGATCCTGCCACTAGTAAAGCGAGCAAAACGCTGGCTTGCATCCATGGATGCTTCTCAAGCAAATCCCAGGACGTCGTTCTCCCCTTGTACTTGGCCTTGGTGAGGCCGCAGCTGGAGTACTGTGTCCAGTTTTGGGCTCCACAATTCAAAAAGGATGTGGAGAAGCTTGAGAGGGTCCAGAGGAGAGCCACGCGCATGATCAGAGGTCAGGAAAACAGACCTTATGACAAGAGCCTGAGAGCTATGGGACTCTTCAGCCTGGAAAAGCACAGGCTCAGGGGCGATCTGGTGGCCACCTATAAGTTTATAAAGTGTGTCCACCAGGATCTAGGGGAATGATTGTTCACCAGAGCGCCTCAAGGGATGACAAGGTCTAACGGTTATAAACTCCTGCAAGACTGTTTCAGGCTGGACATAAGGAAGAATTTCTTTGCTGTCCAAGCCCCCAAGGTCTGGAATAGCCTGCCACCGGAGGTGGTTCAAACACCTACTTTGAACGCCTCCAAGAGAAATTTGGATGTTTATCTTGCTGGGATCCTATGATCCCTGCTGACTTCCTGCCCTGGGGTGGGGGGCTGGACTCGATGGTCTTCCGAGGTCCCTTCCAGCCCTAATGTTATGAAATCTATGAAATTTCCCCTTAATCTGATCCTCAGAAGCTAAGCCCTAACAGCACGTGTAATTTTGTGACCAGACAACCCTGCATGCAAAATTTCATCCCAAATGGCTAAAGTCTGGTCAAGTTACAAGCAACTAAAAACGGGGCCTTATAATAGGAACGGTTGTGCTACCTTGATAACAGGCCTATAATGTCTCACCTATAATGTCACCAAGCTTGAGATAAGTATTTTGTTAGGGTAAAGGTCAGGAGTCCTGCTTTCCTGAAGAAAGGCTGCAAAGGCTACAGTTTTGTAATCCTAGTTATGGGGAAGGTTGTAAAGCTGAATCATGTTTGGAGCCTGCTGTATATTTTGGATAGACCTTCACATATGCTATAAATATCCTCCCTGCTTCACCTAACTGAAATTTATGAGCAGCCCACTGTACTGAGAGCCCCTAAATAGAAACAGGGAGATGCATTTGGGATAGCAGTGAATGGTACCAATATACATGCTAAGATGTGTGCGCATGGATGGCTGGCCTGACGTTCACATTTCAGTAAGCTCTAATTTGTATGCACAATTCATAGTAATCAAGGGCACATCTACAGGATGAATGTAAGTGTGAGGGTTTGGTGAGGATATAGGCAGCCAGGCCTGTGGATAGGCCTTGGGGGCAACTAGGAGGTTAGCAGGGCAGGTGAACAGGTTACTAGAGATCCAAGAGACAGTCCAAGGTATAAGCTGAGGTCAGGAGCCACGGGTCAGAGAGCCAGTGCTGAGTTTTGGAGAATCCAAGATCAGGGTCCAGAGCCAAACTAAGTCAGGATGCTAAAAAAACCAGAGACAGCAGAACCAGTGCTGAGTTTCAGGGGAGATCCAAGATCAGGGTCAAGAAAAGCCAAAGCCTGGTCAGAAGCCAGGAGAACCAGGGAGCGCTGTGAACACAAGGCTTGCCAGAACAGACTGAGGCTGTGTGAAGGCACGGCTGCAAGCCTGAGGCAGCAGGTGTCTCTAAAAGGGATGAGTGGTACTTCTAGCAGCCAACCTGGTTGCAGAGAGCTGGGTTAGCCCCATTAGTCAGAGATCAGGGACAGGCATGGTAACTCCTGTGCTCGGCCCAGCCAGGCCTGCTTGATCAGAGTCCCTGACAACAAGAAATGCTGTGCAGTGTCAGAACAATGGTGCCCCCAGCCCGTCTTGCCCGTGGCAAGTAGCAGATGTATAAGACACAGGGCACGTGGGGAGTGACATAACCCCTGGGTGTATCTACATGTGCGCTTTACTGCAGATCTGACTAATTAGCTCTGAAGTAAAGTGTCACCATCTACACATATGCCCATAGTAGGATGCAGTAAATTAATTAACTCCACTGTAGGACAGTACTGCCCCAGACAAGTACCATCCTACAGCAGAGTAGTTATGTGTGCCACAAGGCACATGTTGATGCTGATGGGGCTGGCTGGGGCATGAGGGTGCTTCAGGGTGGGGGCACGAGTGGCAGTGTCATGCCCCTGGGCTGGCAGGCTGACCCGCTGAGCCCCCTGCCAGCAAGGGCTGCTCCGCCCCTGCTCAATGTGCTGCAGTCCTGGGCACATGTGTAAACGCTGCACCTGGGAGCAATAAACTCCGGTATGAACTGAGCCCAAGTTGATTGCTATGTGCTAACTACACATGTAGACGCACCCACTGGGAAGCATGCCCTGCCTACCTACTCTGCTCAGGGTGCACCAAGGCCCCCCAGACCAGGTGAGACAGTGAGCTCCGAGGGACCCTGAGTGGGTGCCAAGAAGCATGCCTAAGGCTGCCTGAGAGCTGCTCTGGGTGTGTACTCACACTAAACGTGCTAGGCTGCCTGACTTTTGGGCTTTGCCATACACTGTGGGGCTGTGGATGGGCACTCCTGGGCTTGTCATGGGGGCACGGCAGATGCCCTAAGACAAGGAAGTCCCATGGGAAAGTCTGAAGCAGCTATCACTGGATTTCAAGGCACAGAAGTCAGAAATAACCATGTAGATTGTAGTTCTGTAGTGAAATGTCGTCTTGCAGCTCCATTTGCATGCTAATGACATAACTTTAATAGGTATGTCTCTGCCTGTAATGTGCAATTTATACCCTGAAAAGCCTGAAATTACTGCTGATTGCCAATATATAATGCACACGTATTATGTCTGTAGTTGAACATCACTTGAGTTCACAGTTCTCAACGTACCATAAAGCTAGGTGGAGTTTTTCGAGGGAACTGTCTATGCAACTTGCCATGCTTTTGGCAATCTGCTTTAACAGTGAAAAACTAGGGGGCTACTCATGCAAAACCTGTTGCATGAAAACCAGTGAAACTAGTTACATGAGTAAAGCAGCCACACATCTTAAAGGGGGAGGTTACATGTTACATGTTAATCCATACTAAGGGCACTTAAAACATGAGTGTCTGCGCATTAAAGCTAGTTAGCTCATGTTAAGTGCCCTCTGAGCATCTCAAAGTTATGCCACTTTAGGTGAGGGTTAACTCATGGCTGTTCTACTTAGCACATGTTAGGGTAACGTCAGTCTGCTCCACAGAGATAAAATGAGCAATTTGCAGTCCTCTAGCATCCCAGGATGCACTGCTCCCAGCCTCTGTCCCCTTCCGGGAGCAGGTATAGAGCCCAGGTGTCGTGGGTCCCAGCCATAACCCTGCTCACCAACTGTCTAGTGACAAGTCAGAGCAGTGCTTGGTAGAAACAGTATTACCCCATCATGTTTGGCTGCTCAGAGCTCGTTCTTACTTTAACACGGCCCAACAGCCCACATTTTTAGTCCGGTCTAAGTGTAACATGCAACTTCACTCAAGACTCAGCATTTCAAGGAGAGCTCTGCAAAGCTTGTCCTATAACTACTTGTGAAGCACTGAACCTGTTTTCCCAGAACACATCCTGTGTTCCCAGCTGGGTAGTGTAATGAAAACAGCATGGGAAGGGGTGAGAGAAATTCCTAGTGGTAGCAGATACACTATTAGAAGAAAAAAGAAGCTGATTACTGGGAGCTGATTAACAGGAGGAGGATATCACCATAACTCTTGACTTAATGGCACTGGCTTATTTTTCAGTAGAAGCGAATCTTACTTTGCCTTTAGCATGCTCTTCCACCAAAGATCTCAGTGCAATTCATACACTCACTAAGCCTCAATGTGCTACCGTCTTGGCAAGCTGTTAAGACCTGTCTCATACATGAGGAAGCTAAAGCATTGGGAAATTATAGCTGGGATTTTCCAAGATGTGTCCCTCCAGTAAGTCCCACTGGAAATCCTGAACCACATGACTTGCTTAGCTCTACACAATGAGTCACACTGGGTAAGTGTGCTAGATCCAGTTTTTGTCCCCCTCTGCATCTGAATCAGCAGGTCCCTCCTCCAGGTAGCCCAGTGTCAGCAAGGGGTCATGAAAACGCAGGACAGAACATCTCTCTGCAATCAGTCCAGATGCCCAGGCCCAGCATCCCTCAGCAGCCCAGTGCTAGGGAAAGGCTGGATCAGTCTGTGTGGAGCGTGCTCTGCAGGCGTGTCGACACATGCAAATGCTCTGGGGTGGGTTTACTCTAGAGTAATTTACTCCGGTGGCAGAGCTTGCCCCAGCAGCGGGCAGCTCCTGGGGGCAGGGAGCAATCTCCCACCCCTTGCTGTCCGGGTGACCAGGAGTACATTTTCTCCTGGTCAGCTGTCTACACGTGCGCTACTGTGCCGTTAGTAATTGGGAGTAAATTTGCTATTTGTATTTGCAGGTAGCAAATTTACTCAT